ATTAAGACTCTCATACACTGCTGGTGGGACTATAAAATGACACAACCACTGTGGAAAGAAGTATGGCGATTCCTTCAAAAGTTGGAATTAGAAATACCATTTGACCCAGCTATTCCATTACTAGGTATATATCCTAAAGAAGTGAGAACCAGGACAAGAACAGATATATGCACACCCATGTTCATTGCAACACTATTTACAATAGCCAAAAGATGCAAACAACCTAGATGTCCATCAGCTAAAACTATGGTACATACACACAATGGAATACTATGCAACCCTAAAGAATAACATATAATCTGCCAAATACCACATAACACGGATGAACTTGGAGACATTATGCTGAGTGAAATAAATCAATCACAGAAGGACAAATATTGTATTAGTCTGTTATTGTAAAAAGTCAAGGAAATGTTTATACATGGAAAGTAACTTTCTTTGTTGGTTAGCAGGGGTAGGAGGGGAGGGAAGGGAACACTGTTAGATAAGTAGAGACAAGTATTGAAGGAAAGGGCAATGTACCAAATATAAGTGATCAACGCAGTGACACTGAGGAAGAAAAAGACATAGAGAGGTGCATGGCAGGTATAGACAACAAAGTTGAATCCTTTCGCACATACAGTACTGTGTTGTCAGTGATGGCAGACATTGATATATGTATGGGTAGGTGGGTGGACAGGCTGAAGGATTAGGTATTCTATGCAGGGAGGAGTGTGCCCATGACCATGTATAGGGTTGGCAGTCAATGTCTCTACAAGTGTATTTGTATGTTCTGTAAGAATTTCCAGGTATATGTTACAGCTGAGAAGTGACAAGGTTGTAGTTACTTCCTGGCCACAGTCAGCTACCCAGACCGAGCAAGTAGTTGGACCTGTGGGGTCAGGACCATAGTAGCAGGGGACATCAAGCTCAATTGGCATAACATACTATACAAAAACATTGTTCCATATCCTAATTTGGCAAGTAGTGACTGGAATCTTAAAAGCTTGTAAGCAGCCATCAAGATGCAATGATGGGACTCTCCTCATGCAGAGCAAAGAAGAATGAAGAAAACCAAAGATGCATTGAAACAATTAGTCAAAGGAACTGGTATACCATGAGGTCCTCAGCATATATGAGTGTGTGACCAGAAGAATTAGATGGTTCCCAGCTGCCACTATCAACCACTTGGAGGGGGAATCTATGTAGGAGATCCTGGACAAAGTGGGAGAACAATGTGGAACAAAACTCAAAATCATTTAAAAAAATAGAGGACCAGGCTTGCTCATCTGGTAGAGCCTGGTGAAACCCCTGAGACTATGGTCCCTAGCTGCCTTTCAGGTCTGGAATTGAACCCACTCCTATGGCTTCCAGCCAATCAAAAGACAGGCATGTGAGCTGAACATTTACATTAGGTAGATACACTCCTCGAAGAGATCAATCATGGCAGCATAGAAGGGCTGTGTATGTACAGGGAGACAGCTCAGGGGACAAGAGTGCATGGGGCAGGGAAAGGACACAGGGAAGAAATAACTATGAGGAAGAAGTGGGAAAAGAGCTGTTGCATTGTGGGAGATTGCTGTCAATGTCATGAGACAAAGTGTATGTGAATTGCTGTAGGGAAAATGAATTGCTCTGTAAACTTTCACCTAAATCACAATAAAAATTGGAAAAAAAAAAAGCAATAAGGGCTTTAGCTAGTGTAAGTAGCAATGGAGATGGTGAGAAAAAGACATAGTTTAAAAGAAGAGTTAAATAGGGTCTGAACATTGGTCATGGGTGAGAAGGCAATAGCAAAGATGGCTGAGAGGTTGATGGGGAAAATGAGGCCACCTTGAAGGGACCCAGAGACACCTGGAAAAGAAGCAGGTTTGGAAAAGGAAAGATGAATTTAGTCTTAGATATGTTTTTAAATTACAATGAAAACTATTTTAAGAATTGAATAATGAAATCTATTTTTATTAAAACATCATTAAACAGGGAAGAATACAGAAAGAGATAGACCCGTGAATGGGATAAAAGTTTGCTAAGCTTAATATCTTTGCCCTTACCTTCATTTCAGGAAATGAATAAATAAATAAAAGTCTTGAATGTAATTTGTATTTCCACATTGTTTGTGTCTTTGAATTAAACTCAGAATTAGGCTCAATTAACACTTATAATCTGTATCAAATTGTCAAGAGAAACCAAGATCTAATGAAATACTCCTAGAGAAAATAATAATGAAGTTATTTAATGAGAAGGTCATTACTTGAATTGGTTTCCGGGATTTTTCCGAAATGGTATAGATGTCATTAAAGTCTTAGTAAATGATGACTTTTCTAATAGGTTTTAAGCCATTTTAACTCTAGTCTGGCTCAAACCTGTTAGGAATGGGGTCAGTTCCTGGGCCTCTAAGTCATACCCCAATTCCACTGCCCAATGTGATGTGAATGACTGAACAATCAATTAGGTTCTGTAGATAACCTGTCTGGATGCTCGAGGCCACAAAAATCACTTTTTCCTACAACTACATGGACATTTGAAGCAAAATTTAATTTGTTCTGTGGCTTGAAAAATCTTGCTAATCTTGCTGATGTGACAGAGAGGAACATTTTGTGGACAGACTGAATTAATGTGCTAGTCTGAGGGACAGTGGAGAACATTCCTTTATTTTCTTTTAATATTACTTTTTTAAAATTACAAAAGTAATACACTTTCCATTAAAAATTAAAACCACACAGAAATTTATATATAAAGTAAGGCAAAATATCTTGCTTGCATTTTACCACCATGAAAATTCCCCTTCCCAAAAGTAACAGGCTGTAAGACTTTTTCACTTTTCTGTTTTCTCCTTTTAAATTCTTTTCTGTGTGGTCACTCATATATTTGTATTCATGCTACCTCTGCTTGTCACATAAGCTACCCATTACACATGATCTACAAGGGTTAAACTGTTTTCCTGACACACAATGCAATGTTAGAGGGCACAGCACACAAAAGCATCCTTTTTTCTGGTACCAGTTTCAAATTCTGGGGACCTTAAGACCACTCTTGGTTTTGATAATTTGCTATCATAGAACTCACTGGAAACTGTTATTCTCATGGTTATGACTTATTATAGCTAGAAGATGCAGATAAAATCAGCCAAGGGAAGAAGCACGTGGGGCGGAGTCTAGGGAAGTTCCAAACGTGGAGCCTCCAGTTACCCTCTCCTGTTGAGCGGAGGACGTCTTTCCGTTCCTGGTATTGATGTGTAATGATGTGCACGAAGTATTACCAACCAAGGAAGCTCATCTGAGCCTTGGTGTCCAGTCTTTATTAGAGCTCTGTGGTTGACTTCCCATGTGGCTGACATCAGTCTCCAGTCCCTCCAGAGGTTGATCTGATACCATATGACTCAAAGCCTCCATCACAAATCATATTAGACTTTCTGGTGTAGCCCAAGACCCTTATGTAAACAAAGATGCTTTTATCAGTCAGAGCACTGTAAGGGTTTAGAAATTACCTCCCAGGGGCCAAAAGTGAACGCCAGACTTCTCTTTGGGTGAAGTTAAATTCTTTACTAGAAGGAAGTGATCATTCAGTGGTAGAACTTTGCCTCCCATGTAGGAGATCTAGGTTTGATTCTCGGCCACTGCATCTCAAGCTCAACCACTTACCTATGTGTTATTAGAGGCTTGTGTCTTGCTGTGACACTGAATAGGTTTCAACAGAGCTTAGGACAGACTAGGAAGAAACCTGGTGATTTATTTCCAAAAACCAGCCAAAGGAAACCTTATGATCATAACAGTTCAGTCTTGTTATGCATAGTGTCTACATGAGTCTTTACTATTACACATAAGTTTTGAGTTATGAAAGATTTAATTCTTACCCAGAAAAATGCATGTACACACAAAACTTATATATAGCTGTAGAGGGTTCAAGGAACTCAGATGGTTATAAAGTCCATGGACTAAAGGTAAAGAACCTCTGCTATAAACAAGTGGAGAAACCACCAAAAGCCACAGTCCTGGTATTAACTCTGTGCCCAGCTCTCCTCTGACTCTCAAAACGTGCATCATCAGTGGGTGTTCAATTTTTCCTCCTGCATTATGGAAATAACTCTATCATCCAGTATTGATTTCATGACTATTTGTAGGTTCCAAAATTATTGGTAAAGGAGGTTAATCAATTACAACAGGAATAGGGACTGCTTTTCAATGTTGAAGATTACTCATTGTTTGATTAGGTTTGATTTTTGGAGACTCAATTTACAATTCAGAAATACCTTGTGCTTCTTACTCAATCACAGATTTATATAATAGATGAAATTTTCTCTCCCTTCAAGGCTAAGGGTGTAATTTTGCTGGTGGGTGCTCAATTCATTTGTAAAATATTATGTATTATTGTTCTGGTTACCTAGTGCTGCTCTGACAGGAATATACCACAAATAGGATGGCCTTAACAAACAGGAGTTTGTTCTTACAATTTAGAGGCTTTAAGTCCAAGTTCAAAGTGCAGGCTTTAGGGGCTGGGTGAAAGCCCCTCAACCTTGAGGTGCAGCTCTCCCTCCTGCTCCTGGCCCACTGGAGCTAGAGGTGTTTCTTCACTCAGACAGCTGCTGGCTGAGAAGCCCCAAGATTGACAAGTAAAAAGGAACAGTTCCGATGTTACCAAACCACACCGCAGGCCATTAACTTAGGTCCATTGTAAGTCCCAAGGTCGGCAGAGCATGGCAGGCTGCTGAACAATGACAAAGCTACATGCAGGGTCCAAGCATGCCATAAGCTAGAGATCATTCCCCAAGGCTTCTGCTTATATACAGGAAGCAGCCCACATTCCCTAAAGCAGGTACTCAGCTGCTCACAGTAGATTCCACCATGGAGCTGACTACCAGTCTCATCCTGGGGGAATACTGCATCCAGCTGCCCAGCCACTCAACCAGGCCCAGCCAAGTTGACACACAAACTGAACTACCACAATTATATTTCCAGATGTTTGTATCTGTCAATATTTTAGTTAAGCCCCTGACAATAAATGATTATTTGTTTACTTTACAGAACTGTGATGTGGAAATGGGCACAGATGAGAAACTAGATGAAAACCAACACTTTAATTTAAAAAGTGGACCCAAAAGCCTGCCGTGGACCAGGAAGGTCTACGAGTTCTACAGTGCTCCGATTGTCAAGTTTTGGTTTCATACGGTTGGTCTCATTACAACAATTATATATAGTATTAGTGACAATTAATAGATAATGATCACGCTGGTAATGATCTGATTGATTTGTCAGTTTGCGATTAAAAAAACAAACAGCTCAGTAAAAAACAAAAATTGAAGGAGGATAAAAAAGGAGGTAGAAAAGAGGATTGGAGGAGGAAGAAGAAAAGTTAAAGTGTAGCTCTCCTACTTGGGGAGCTTTGGTGGGATAGTGCCTGAAGCATTTGACTGCTAACCAAAAGGCTGGCAGTTCAAACCCACCAGCCACTCCTCGAAAGGAATCTACTTCTATAGAGAAACTGCCTCGGAAACCCAAAGAGGGGTTGCTATGAGTCAAATTGACTCAATGGCTTTTTTTTTTTTTTTTTTTTTTTTTTGTGGTTTTCTCCTACTTTGAAAGTTAGCTATACTATACTCCTTCCTGCTGAGAAGTGGCTGGTGGGTTTGAACCGCCAGCCTTCTGGTTAGCTGTCAACTGCTAATTTGAAAGTGAAAGAACAAGCATTTTCTTCTTCCCTGGAGTACTTACAGTTAGCTCAGCTGGGAGTGAGCATTGGAAGCTTTGTGGAACAAACAATTAAGTTTTTGAGGATTAAATGAGAGGTGAGTGGATTCTTTTCCCTACTTGGGGAAGAAAATCAGTTGTTGAATCAACTTTTTTGTTGTAGGAATAATGTGTTATATAGATTTAAAAAAATGCAAGTATTGACTTTTTTATCTCCCATAGCACATGCTTATAAACAGAGGACAGTAAAGTTTTAGAAGCCTAATTATGTGAACGGATATTAAATCTATTATAGATAGTAGAGCTACAGACACAGCATGAACTGTGCTTCAAAATGTATTGGGTGTTTCATGTTTATTTAAGAAGCATTTATCCCGCATGCTTGTCTACACTTAAATTGCTCATGGCCAAGATTTTGTTTTTCTGAAACATCTGAAGTGTGAATATAAAAGAATATTTATCTAAATATGTTATTTTTTTAAAAAATAATTACTTCACCAACTCTACACTTATTTTGTATACTTATTTGATTAGTAATAACTCTCAATTCAAACATCTATTTCCGAAAATCAGATCTTCCATCATATGATTAGTTTTCACCATTTTTATAACTATGCAACCCAAATATCCAGAGACTCTTATAGTAGCTCCAGAAGAATTTTAGCTATGTCACATTTTTGAGGAAAAAGTATTTAAGTGTTTCTTTCTTTAGAAATGCCAGCTTATGAATTTTAGAGAGAGGAGCAAAGTTAAGCAATAGCGCAAGGCCAGCCAGAACTGTCCACTCTAACAGATGATGTAAACAGTGAGTACAGGAATTTTAGTTTCAGCAATTCCACTACGATGGAGCTTGAGTGGTGCAGTGCCTAAGGCATTTGACTGCCAGCCAGAAGGTTGGTGGTTCAAACCTACCAGCCTCTCTATGGAAGGAAGAAAGGGAAATCTACTTCTGCAAAGATTTGCTGTCTTGGAAACCCAATGGGGGTTGCTGAGTTGGAATCAATTCAATGGCGGTGGGCTTATATATATATATATTTTTAATCCCATTGCTAGAGTTTGGCATTGGAGCAGTATCTTATTATAAATATTTTAATGATGACAAAACAAAAATATAAACATTTTTGGCTCATGTTTTTAAGAACTAGAAAGAAACAAAAAGAATCAGAAGCAACTGCCAATGTCTAGTGATTTTGTGAAGCTTAATTTTATCTAGTGATGAGCAGCTAGATTTACCTAGGTTGCTTGTAGCCTTGCTGTCAGTGTTGATTCTGACTCAAAGCAACCCTATAGGACAGAATAGAACTGCCCTGTAGAGTTGCAAGGCTGTAACATTTCCAGAAGCAGACAGCCTCACCTTTCTCCTGTCGAGCAGCTGGTGGGTTCAAACCATTGACCTTTTGGTTAGCATCCAAGCACTTAACCTCTGTGCCATTAGGGTTCCTTGAACTAATGAACAAATCTACTTAAACCTACTTAAAACAGTCTTTAGTAACCCATCCTGTTCACAAGTAAATGAACTTTTGCTTTTTTTATCAAGGTGATCATTTATTCAGTAAGTTTGTGGTCTTTTGCTTAGAAATGTGTCAAATGCATACAGTTATACAATGTGAACATTAGAAAGAAAGCATTATGGCTGAAGATTACATAAAGGTTCAGACTATGCATCAGTTTTTACTGAGCAATTACTGCTATCTTTAAGACTTAGTACTCTGAGCTGGTGAGTTGGGAAGCAGAGGTAGGCAAATATAGATCCAGTCTTCAGGCAGTTGATGGTCTGATGGGGAGAATGTTTATGTATATAAATGCTTCTAATATAAGTCAAGGAGCTCTGGTGGCGTAGTGCCTAAGGCATTTGACTGCTAACCAGAAGGCTCGCAGTTCAAACCCACCAGGCACTCCTCGGAAGGAAGGTTGGGCAATCCACTTCCATAGTGATGTCACTTCGGAAACCCAAGGAAGGGCCGTTATGAATCGGATCTGACTCAATGGCAGTGAGTTTGGTTTTTTTTGGAATATAAGGCAGGAAATCACAAAATATGAATAATAAAAGAAGTACAGACAACCGGATGAAAGTCCTAATATATGCCTCAGAGTACAATGTAGGGAGCCATTTATATGGTCACCATGAAAGCAGAGAAAAATACAAAAATGGACTGCTTGATAGAACAAATTTGTTTAAATTATGTCTCTAGGAGTCATCAAAAATACTCAGATTGTGAGACCTAGGCTAAGAGATTCATAGGAGAAATGACCTTTTTATTTGCTTTTCTACTACAGCTTCTTAGCATAATGGCTAAAGCACTTGACTGCTAACCAGAAGGCTGGCGGTTCAAACCCACCAGCCACTCCTCAGAAGGAAGGTTGAGCAATCCTACTTCTGTAGTGATACTGCCTTGGAAACCCAAGGAGGGGTTGCTATGAGTCGGGGCCGACTCGACGGCACATAACAACAACGACACTACAGCTTCTTAATTCATAGGCAGGAACATCTACTGTGATTGTCTGAAACACCATCTATTGTATGTAATAACAATATTATGTAATCAGAAGTGGTTAAAGGCATCCCCTATGTTTACTGGGCAGAACTAAGGTTATCAAACTTATCAAGAAGCAGACTTTTCAAATTTAGGTTGAGTAAAAAAAGAAATGATAAATAGGATCAAGGTTAAAATGGTATGATTCTTGTAAGTTTAGGCGCATACACGCTCATGCAAGCACACTTTTCATGTTGTCTGAAGCTATTGAAAGGAATGCACCAGCTCATGCCTTGTTGGTGATAATGCAAATTGGTAAAGACTTTCTGGCAACAATTTAGTAATATGTGTCAATTTTAAATGCACATATTCAGCTATTCAACTTCTTAGAGTACAGTTTAAGAAGAGAAGAAAATAAAACAAGATTACAAAACTATTTATCACTATGTATATATGTGTGTGTATTTATTGTATTTTAATTATTTGAGAGATTGGAAATATAGTTATTATATATAGAGTTAGTAATTAAACAAGCATTTATTGAATGTCAACCTTGTGTCAGACAGAGTGATCATTGCAGAAGATAAAAGTACCAACCAACAGTCCTTAATTACAAGGGCCTTAGAGTTGAACAAAACCTTTCTATTAATCAGAATGTTTCAAGTAACATAAAATAAAATTTCCAACAGGAGTTATATTTGAAAGTTCACAAACTGCTCATCTGATGTAGTTGGCACAGGCCTCTTCTATGTTTAAAATGGAGGGGAAGGCACGTGATTCTTCCTTGGTTTATGGTTAGTCCACTAGGACCCATGTTGGGTTATGGACATTCTGATCATGAGTCAATAGGTTGAAGTAGTAATCTTCATTCCTGTTTTTAAATTCTGTACTAGAGATCTGTAGATTCATGTGCTTCCCTTGATATTAGATTGCCCATAATCAGAGGGTGGTCTTGGTTATAGTTTCATGTTATCGTATTGAAGTGCATGTGCGTGTTTCTCCTCACTTTGGTCTGTGTCTGCTTGGCTTTCTTAGTTATTACTCTAACTCACGTCCAGGGAATGTGTGTGTATCCCCCTCACAGATGGCTTATTTGGCATTCCTCATGCTGTTCACTTACACTGTGTTGGTAGAGATGCAGCCCCAGCCCAGCATGCAAGAGTGGCTTGTTATCATTTACATCTTCACCAATGCCATTGAGAAAGTCAGGGAGGTGAGTCATCCATGGATGGAAATCAACAGGTCAAGGGTGGGGGTGAGACCAAAAGTGCTGATCCTAATTCGATGATGATGTTGTTAAGTTGCCCGGAGTTGCCTCTGGCTTGTGATAACACCAAGTGCAACAGAACAAAATGTTGCCTGGTCCTGCACCATCTCATGGTATGCTTCAGTCCACTGCATGGCACAGGAGGGTTTTTGGGAGAAGATCCCTAATCTCAACCCTTTATCCTTACCCAATACTATCTGCTAGTTGCTGTTCCTTGGAAGCAGCTATCTTAGAAGATGTCTTAGTTTATCAGTAGTTTATTACTGATCTTCAAAATTATCTTCAAAGGAGACATCTTAGTATGTGTATCAGTCCGAGAGTGGTAAGTGATGTCATCTAATTATTATTAGACCCTCCAATTATTTGATTTCCCAGGAATGTTTTTTTGATGGAATTGATTTTTATACTTTAACATTAACATATTCTCAGTTTCATCTCACAGAGTAGCATGAAAATGGCCAAAGTTGTACAATATATAAAGAGTTCATTTATAGGTCTTGAAAGATTTACTAGGACACCTTTTGAAATTTTTTAAACTGAAAATTCCTTTAGGGAAAGTCATCTAAGAAACAGAATGAAATTTTCATCTCTAATTTGCAATTAGTCTCTTAAGGAAAAGAAAGGGTTCACATTCCCATGCATTTAACAGCAATCCCATATTTGAACTGCTTTAGATGTCAATGTCTATGTCTTTCTGTGTCTGTGTGCTGCTGTACATTTATTTTTGTCCTAGAGCTAACGTGGCTGCCATTATTTACTAAGTAAATGTATTCTTACTATTAGAATAATATTACTTGCTATTTACTATTATAGGAGCTCTGGTAGCATAGTGCCTAAGGCACTTGACTGACTGCTAACCAGAAGGCTGGTGGTTCAAACCCACTAGCCACTCCTTGGGAGGAAGGTTGGACAATCTACTTCCGTAGTGATACCTCCTTGGAAACCCAAGGAAGTGTCGCTGTGAGTCGGTTCCGACTTGACGGCACATAACAACAACAATTTACTATTATGGACTTCATAGATTACAGAAAATAATTCAGAAGAAACTATCTAACTTCTCTCATTTCTTAATGCTTCAGAGCAAACAGCTTACTAATTTTACATTTCAATTTGTCTGATATTCTTTTGCAGGAGTAATTTCTTACCATGGTGATTTCCAATATCATGTTCTTGGTAATTTGTCAACTAGATTACAGAATTTGTGGGTTTCCATCCTTGTAGTCTGCTGTGTAGGAGCTCTGGTGGCATAGTGCCTAAGAAATTTAAGTGCTAACCAGAAAGCTGGCAGTTCAAACCTACCAGCCACTCCTTGGAAGAAGGTTGGGCACTACTTCCATAGTGATACTGCCTCAGAAACCCAAGGAGGGGTCGCTATGAGTGGGATCTGACTCCACGGCAGTGAGGTTTTTTTTTCACTCTACTATGTGTCATGAAATGGAATTATAACCAAATAAGTTCATGGCAATAATGAAAAATTTAAAATACCTTCGTGTTCTACTTTGTAGTTTAGGATTAATGAAAGGTAGAAGGGTTTTTTTTTTTTTTTTTTTTTTTGGGTGAATGTGTTTGGACTTCTGGTTGGGTTTTCAGGTGGCTGGCTGGGATTAGCAATGCCATTAAAATACATTTATAAAACCCAAACCAAGCCTACTGCTGTTCAGTTGATTCTCACTCATAGCAACCCTATAGGACAGAGTAAAACTGCCCCATAGGGTTTTCCAGGCATAAATCTTTACAGGAGCAGACTGTCATATCCTTCTCCCATGGTGGGAGGTAGGTTCCAGTTGTCGACTTTTCAGTTACTTGTCTAGCACTTTAACCATTGCACCATAGAATTGCTTAAATAATTCATTGCCCGAGGATAACCAAAGCCTCTAAAATCTCCATGTGATCAAATGTTAGACAGAATCCAAATTACCATTTAAATGAGAGGTTGATGTATTGAAGAAGACTGTAATGCTGAGACTCTTAAGATTATACCCCAACCTTCACGTTTCTCTCTTTCTTCTTTTAGGTCTGTATTTCGGAGCCTGAGAAGTTTACTCAAAAGGTGAAAGTGTGGACTAGTGAGTACTGGAACCTAATGGAAACTGTGGCTATTGTTCTGTTTACAGTTGGTTTTGGCCTTCGGTGGGGCGACCCACCTTTCCACACAGCAGGAAGACTCATCTACTGCATAGACATCATATTCTGGTACACTCAGCTCCTGGACTTCCTTGCTGTGAATCAACATGCAGGTCCATATCTGACCATGATTGCAAAAATGGTGAGTGCAGTCTGGTTTTATATTCTGCTGTACTTTTCAGTGGTCATCCCTAATATGGTTAACATCCAATAGTTTAACTTTTGGAATTATCAATGGAAGCACAGATAGAAGGTCTTTGAATCAGTGCTTTCCTGATGAATTAATATTTAACAGATGTCCTTGTATAACATATTGGACAGTTGGCCAGGATAATCATTATCCTTTATTAGGGCCAGGTAATATGTGGCCCTTGGAAGGAAGATTGGGCAATCTACTTCCATAGTGATACTGCCTCAGAAACCTAAGGAGGGGTTGCTATGAGTGAGATCCGACTCGACGGCAGTAAGTTTTTGTTTTGTTTTGTTTTGTTTTAATATGGGATTCAGGGGCAATTGTGGTTCAGTGGTAGAATTCTTGCCTTCTATGCATGAGACCTGGGTTTGGCTCCTGGCCAGTGCCCCTCAAGCACAGCCACTAACTGTCTGTAAGTGGAGGCTTGTGTTTTGCCGTGATGCTGAACAGGTTTCAGTGGAGCTTCCAGACTAAGATGGATGAGGAAGAAAGGCCTGGCAATCTACTTCTGAAAACCAGCCCATGAAAACCCTGTGGAGCACAGTGGTTCGATTCCATTGTGTATGGGGTCACCATGAGCTGGGGGAGACTCAACAGCAGCTAAAAACAAAAATGTTAGATTAAACCAAATTTGTTTCTGAGCACAGTCATTCCTAAGGGCCAGATTTGTGACCCTCAATAAACATCAATATATTTTCTGCTGAATTACTGATTTCTTTCTTTTGCAATTTTACTCCTCCCACCCCTAAAAAGAAAGCTTTTATTTAGTGCTTACTCTGGGCTACACACTGTTCCAAGTCCTTTGTATGCATTAACTCATTTAATCTCTATAACATCTTTATAACATGGGTACTATTATCTACATTTTGCATACAAAGAAATGGAGGTTAAGTAAATTCCCAAGGACATATGTAGGGGAACCAGGATTCAAATCTAGGCCACCTGGCTTCAGTCTGTCATCTGAGATCACTGAGATCACTGCCATTGTGTCAGCTTTCTCCATGTGACCTTGCATGAGGGCCTAAGACCTATACTTTGGGAAGGACAGCATCTCAAGATCATCTGTGGATTTTCCTTCTAGAATATTCACTGTCTGGAAAAGGGCAAGTTCTTGAAAATGAAAGGAGTGTGGAAACAAGGGAGAGGACAAAGAATGAGAACCTCCAGGACCCCAGAGACAGAAGTTCTTACTTTACACTTTTCTCTTAGGCCAGAAATCGGTGTTTGTTAGATCATATGTGCTGAGGGAATACTTCTCAGTGAGTTAGCACAAGTTTATTTCTCCCTCCCACAAAGTTGGATGAGCGCTCTATGTGGTTTTTGACCCTGTGACTTTTCAGAAGATCTCCAGGCTTTTCTTCTGAGGCAGCCCTGGGTGGGTTTGAACCACCAACCTTTTAGTTCGTAGCCAGACATTTAACCATTTGTGCCACCTAGGGACTCCTTCCCAGTGATTTCAGAATCCGGAATCCCTCCATCATGTGATATAGTCATGTCAGTATATGGCTTCTAAGGTCTCCTATGGCAGGAATGAGAAGGATGAGGATGTCCAATGGGACAAGAAGTGGCAAAAGCTACTGTCATTCCACAGCCCATTGACTAGAACCAGGTCACATGGCCCCAGGCTACTGAAAAGGAAAATGAGAAATGTAGAGAAGCTCTTAGTTTGTTTTCAGTTTCAGCTCTCTGCTAAAATTCTCCTTGTGCTGTGCCCTTTTGTAGACAGCAAACATGTTCTACATTGTGATCATGATGGCCATTGTTCTACTGAGCTTTGGAGTGGCACGCAAGGCCATTCTTTCTCCAAAGGAGCCTCCGTCTTGGAAGCTAGCTCGAGATATTGTATTTGAACCATATTGGATGATATATGGGGAAGTCTATGCAGCAGACATAGATGGTGCGTATGGGATTTGCGGGGGACAGTGGTGATTCAGTAGTAGAATCTTTACCTTCCATGCGGAAGAACTAGGTTTGATTCCCAGCCAAGGCATCTCAAGTCCAGCTACACTCATCTGTCATTGGAGGCTTATGTGTTGCTATGATGTTGACCAGGTTTCAGCGGAGCTCCTAGACTAAGTCAGGCTAGGAAGAAAGGCCTGGTGGTCTTCTGAAAAATCAGCCCATGAAAATGGTTTGATCCTGTCATGCATGGGGTTGCCATGAGTTGGGGGCTGACTTGATGGCAGCTAACAACAGCAACATGAGATTTGCCATCATGTAGAATTTGAACCTTTGTAGATACTCAAACTTTAAAAAATCTGGAAAATAATAATCTGAATCATAGAAATGTCAAACATTTGTGGTATTCTACAAAGTTAAAGTGCTAAATATGTGTACAGAGTCACAGACTGTAATTTATCTTATCTTTCGTCTTTTTTTTTTTTTTTACATTCCTTATTGGCAGTTTGTGAAAATGAGAAACCTTGCCCGCCAGGTTCTTTCCTTACTCCGTTGCTTCAGGCTGTCTACCTGTTTGTGCAATATATCATCATGGTGAATCTGCTGATTGCTTTCTTCAAGTAGGTTATTTTACTTAAATCCAAATGGGGACAGGTATTTTGAGTAGATTTGCATGTATTTTGAGAATGTAACCTTTTGTTTTTGTTGTTTCCATGTTTTATCATTATGTTTTTAGATATGGGCATGCATATAGTGGTAGGAAGGAAACAGAATGGAAAGAGGGAAAAAAAATGAATAGTGAGAAAGTACAATAGAGGCAGAATAAAAGGAGACCACGAGTTGTAATTAAGCAATAAATTAGAATAATTAATAAATTAGAATCATGGAAGGATCCAGTTGATGGGGTTGAAAGTTGACCAAGGAGCTCTCGATGCACTTTCTTCATGTGACCCTCAGTATATCTCACTGTTTTCTTCTGTCTCACTTTTCATTTCTTCTCCGTCTCCTTGTATGGGTCACCATCTTCTCCCCAACCTTTGAACGTTGGAATGTTCCTGAGCTCATACCTTGTTCTTCTGTTTATGCTTTTTGGTGATCTCATTCAGTTTCCTGTGTATACTGACAAACCCCAATATATATCTCCATCCAGATCTCTTAAACTCTGGTTTTACAGATCCAGCTGCTTTCTTGCATGTCTAGTCAAGTGTGTGATAATTTTTTAAATTTAAGATGTCCAAAATGGAATTCTTGATTTCCCTTTCTACTTGTAGTTTTTTCCCAAACCTAGGGAAAGACCATGAGTGTCTGTGGCAACTCCATGTTTTGAGTTGTTTGGGCCAAAAGCCTAGCAGTCATTCTTGATGCCTCTACCTCTAAATTGTCAAGAACTCCTATTTACTTCTCCTTTAAACTAGATTATCAATCCATCTACCTCTAACCACTCCACTACTATGATAGAGCCTCCTGATTAATTTCCTTGATTCTGTCTTTGGCAGATATTTTTATCCTTTTCTCAACACAGTAACTTGCATGATCTTTGACAAACTTATGTCAGATGATGTCACCCTTTTCTGCTCCAAACCCTTCTTTGGCTCCTCCTTTCCCTTTGGGTAATAGCTAATGTTTCGATAATGACCACAGGACCTGATTTGATTTGAATTTGCTGTTCCTTTCCAAATCATGCATCACTTATTCCTTTCCAACCATATTGACCCCTCACAAGTTTTCAAACAACACAGGTGCGTTTGTGCTTGCTGTTGCCTCTGCCTGGAATGCTCGTCCCCCTGAAATTAAAGTGGTTCATCCCCTGGCCCCCTTCAACCTTTTGCTCAAATGTACTCTTTTTAACTTTGCTTAATCTTAAAATTAGATTTAAAAGTGTAGCCCCTTTTCATCCTACAATCTCCTTGGCATGCCTGGTTGCCCTTTTTTTAAAAAATTATACCCACTTGTATTATATATACAAATATATTTTATAATTTATTCACATATTATTATTGTTTTAATCTGGCTCCTCTACTGGAATCTAAATTCCACTCTGACAAATATTTTTTGTCTTTTTGCTCATGAATTTATTCTCAACACTGAGAAGAGTGTGGGTACATATATGTTGAATGGGTGAAAGAAATCAAAGGAGCTGATGGGCAGAAACTAGAATTTCCTGAATGCTTCTTACATGCTAGACACGATGTTAGGCATTTATTCATTGATTCCGTCACTGAGGAGTGAAAGATAAGAAAAGGGAATATTGACACATGGAATCTAAATGAAGAAAGTAGAGAA